ACGAAGTTTTTCATGAGGAATCTGAATATCTCATTTTGAAAATTCCAAAGAAATGAAATTTTCTTAAAAAATTGTAAAAACTTTTAAGAATGTCGCAATGTTTTGAGGTTTTTGTAGGAAAAATGGACTACTGAGGGTTATCCAAAAAGCTTGAGTTTTTTTTAATTAAAACCCTTTTGAAAAATATAAAAACAGATATATTCTTACTCAGCTCGACAAGCTCTATCTAATCATGTATAAAAAGACGAAAAAAAAAATGTTGCTGGAATTTTGCATTGTTTGCACCTTACTACAATACAAATTTGAACTATCTTGTCGAACTTAATTTGTATGAAGTGTAATGATTCAAGCATTTTTTTTTCTTTTTTTTAAACTTTTATTCATATGAATAATTAATTGCTGAGAAATGTTTATATTCATTTGTTTTTGTTTTGTATCAAAACAATTGCTTAAAAATAATAACCAGAATATTACTATTGAATCAATAGACATTATATACAGAACATAGGATTCTTTTTTTGACTTTGAGAATAATAAAAGATTCTATTGTCTATCGGACGACATTTTCTTTTTAGGAATCCAGATGTATTTCTTTCCCATGAATAAAGTAGGTAGGTGTGGCAGATTTCGATTATTTTTTTTTATAGATGCATTGTTATAACAAAGAATTTTATATCGAAAACAGTTAACAATTAATTCAATAGTGTTAACCATAAATGAAATCTAAGTTTTGAAAGATAATATTATTATTTGTTTTGTCTTTGTGAATCGTCTTATTTGGATATATTTATATTTCTGATATTGTTCAAATGACTGAAATTTCTGTTTTTAAGATTAGTGATAGCGTTATAAAATATGGTCAACATTAATAGTCTCGTACCGATTTTTATTTTTAAATCCTGTATTAAAATTACACGCTATCAATTCAATATGATTATGTACCTGTATAGCAGAGATTAAGTACTAAATATATAAGTATTTAATACAATCAATAAATAGCAACTTTTGTACTAACAAAAAAAATGCCATGAAAAAAGACAATTTGGCATGGTTGTTACGAGACTTAGTACTTTCATTACACAGACTAAGTCCGATGAACCATCGGATCAATATCAATAGTGTACTTTAGAAGATGCTGCAAGCATATCATTTCGTGTTATCTTTCTATTTGCGTCGTTCGAATTCGTATGTAGAAATTGAGATTTTAGTGAATTAGGTGTAGTGAATTTTTAACCTTTGATTTTTGTACTAGATAAAGCAATAATTCACAATGCATCAAAAACTAACTAAGCATTTCATAATGTACAACGTTACGGATTAGTGGACAAGATGTGTGTGTAAATATTGTTTATTTTCATTAACACATCATTGTTACTTATAAACTTATAACAGCCAGATCATGTTGTCTTTTTTTCATGTTAATTTTTTTTTTGTTATTATCAAAGTTTCTATGTATTTATTGTATTTTAAATTCAAGCATTTCTTGTATTGAACACATATATATTTGGTGCTTAACGTCTGCTATACGGTACATAATCATATATTGAATTGATGGTGTGTAGTTTTAATATACGGCTTAAAAATAAAAAGTAATGCAAAACTTTTGACCTTGACTGTATTAAGATACTAATATGTTTCGATTATCTTATTTACAAATCTGTCTATGGCTAGTCCTTTTAGAATAACAACGTATGTGTAATCATCTTTACAATCTTGATGGATTGATTTTGAATAGACTAATGAAACACCAATTTTTATTTAAATAAGATAAGATCGATCATGAATCAATGCAGAGATATACCACTTTGAGAAGTCGTATTTTTATTTCTTAATTTAAAAGATAATCACAATATTAAAAAGATTTCGTAGAGAATGAAGCGAACTATTTGAAATTTATTATGTAATTGAAAACAACATATAAAGAATATTGATGAAGAACTACTATCAAATAGAAGAAAAAGAAACCATGAAATGAAGTCTGTCTTTGTTACTATATCTTTAAATTATGGACATTTCATCGTGAAAACATTGCATGGTCCTCTGCAACAACGACGAATTTTAGAACAACGTAAACGTCCACGAACACAATGGCCATATGGATGTAGTCGTGGTTCAACATATGAAGGTACAAACACATTATCTGAGACACTTTGTGTAGTATTTGTATCCAATAAAACAGTAGTTTGCTCAAAGTTTGTTTGTTGTGTAGTTTGCTCAAAGCTGTTTTGTTCAGTAATTTGTTCTAAACTTGTATTCTGGGTACTTTGGTCGGAACTTGTTTGTTCAGTAATTTGTTCTAAGCTTGTATTCTGGGT